CAAATCGCATAGACAAATTAGTTATCTTGAAAGCAAAGCTAAAATTCGAGCTAAATTAAACACGCAATAGTTTAAAATTGGTAAAGTTGACTCACAAGTACCTGAGGAAGAATTTCGAAGGAATTTTAACCATTGTACACTGTCATCTCCCACGTTCGATGATGACATAATCACAGCTTTTGTTTCATTGCTAGTTTTATCATGACTCGCAGTTGTTTTTCTCGGTTCGGGTGTCGTTGTTGTTGTCGTCGTGGTCGAGGTCGTGGTCGTGGTCGTAGAAGTGGTAGTAGTTTTCGGTGGAGGAGGTGAGGTCGCTTTATTCCCGTTCTTCTCAAGAGCGTCTTCAGTCTTCACACTCAGTCTTGACCAGCCCGTTTGCCCTGCTGCGCTGTGACACGCAAATCCCGGATGTTGCGTGTCCACCCATTCAGGTGTCACATGAACTAGTGTGTACTCGTACACGATCTCTCCACTTGAATGGATGATGCTCCTACATGTCACTCCCTCCAATGCAGGAATAACCCGACAGCCGCCGTTGCCGTTGCACACCTCCTGCGGTCGACAATTCTGAAAGCAAAAGGTGTCTCTAGGGGTGGCGGGACAGTAGAGAGTCATGCTGCTTTGTGCCATGAGAGTGCCCCCCTCTGAATTGGAATTGATATGACACCGAATGGTTACACTGTCACCGAGAGTAACACTCATTGAAGAGAGCGAAATGGAAAGGGGAGGAGGAAGTGTGTAGGAGATCTTGGAGGGATGAGAGTGAACTCCTAAGAGGTCTTGATAGAGAAGGAGGAGTGAAAAGAGTCGTAATGAAGGTGTTACTTCGAATCCTGTAGTTTCCGATCGTCGCCACATGATAGCTGTAGGAGTACTATTGTTATCGCTGCTGTTTAAAAAGATCGGAAATGCTTATGCAGACGTGTGCGTGGGTGTGTGCGGTGTGCAACGTCCGGGTTAGTGAACACTCCTGCTATTGCCCATCGCCCGATCTCCGCTGCAGCGGCCTCACGACCCCGGTGTGTGTCAGTCTAAGCGTTTATGCACGCACAGGTCGGTAAAAATGTGCCTACTTGCTCGCCTCCCCCCTGGCCCTGTCTTGTGCATGCAAATGTGCTCCTCCATTAGTGAGTGTGTGTGCGTATGTGTTGCATGTCTATTGGCGTGCGGTTATGATTTGCGCCATCTGATTGGTTCTGAACTAAGTGTGCATACATACACACGCACATTCACTAAAATCACTTGCGCTCCTGCCCTCCACCATTGCTGTCTAGGCAGAGGCCTAGGCACCATCACATCCATGGGCACGGTAACAACGGTGACCCGGTATCGAGCTATTTGATTTTGGTTATGAGCAAACAGCTCAGTCATCCCCCTTCATCTAAGCGAATTTGATGGTCTGCATTTTTGATGATACAAAAGCACTCCTTTTAGAACCATAGTCCGTTTCTTAAGTTGAAATTTCGCTTTTTTCTTAACTTGCATTGTTATGTCACAATGTATGCGCAACTCTAATACATGCTCTTTTTCCTTCTTTGAAAGAGTGATGGGCGAATTCTCCGACGAAGCTGCATAAAATAAAAAATTGCTTGGCTTCAAAGCATAATTGTTATCACGCCATTACCGCTATCCCTTATTGCTCTGCATTTTGCACTGCCCTTGACACCTAATTGGCACAACTGGGAGGCCAATTCTGGCGTCACCTATTGTCAAACCGCCAATGGCACTGTCAAAATGAACTCGACCACTTGATTGGCTTAGCGACGCCGTGGCGTGTCAAATCAGACCACGCCCTGTCTTAGAAGGTTAATTACTGGGCAAAAGGTATCGGAATTAATGTTTGCTCACATGTATAAGCGCTTAAGGTAACCAAGATGCATCCACACCATGAAACACTAACTGAATGAAGTTTGAGCCCTACTGACTGTTTCAGGTGTTCTGAATTTCTTTCGCAAATGTTTTGAGATTCTGAGAAAAATGTATAACTTTGAGAGCAACTTGCAGGGGATTGAAGAAACAACCCTAAAACAAATTTCATAAGCTCAACCCAAGCTTTGCAGAAACACGTTGGCTGGGACAATTGTTCAATGTCAGAGGAATTTGCCAATATACGTCATTGAGAAAGGAAGGCTTTAAATAAACTTGGTGGTTTAACCGATAAATTAGGTATATATTTTTTTGAGTATTAGAATTTTATGGAAGAACTTAAAGTAAACGTGGTCCCCTGAGTTATAGTGGATTTAGAGGAGCTGATGTATGTCTCCTGAGAATCGTGTAGAACTAGTTTATTAGGCAGCACTTTTGAATGCAATGTTTTCGTTTTTGAAAAATTAGGCCTGTGTCAAAGTGGAGAGTGGAATAATTTAGCTGATAAGCCGATTGAAGTTGACAATAATCGGTTTGAAATTAATAGCTTAATTTTTCTCTTCTACAGCATTTCCAAATGTTATTTTAATTCCGTTAAAGTTGAGCTAAGTTGACAGTTATCTAGGGGTTCGCAGATTAATACTCTAACTCTATGATGTTTTCC